TCGTCTAGGTGTGGGCTGATGTAGGCTTGTACCAAGATGGTGCCCATGTCCAAGGAGAGGAGGGGGAATGTATGAGATTGATTGGGAAGGTAATATCAACAGGACTTGCCAATTGATTGGATGTGACGGGGGCAAGTGAGAGTGAAGAGTCAAGGGTGACACATAGGTTGCAAGGCTGGGTGACGGGAATGGGGATGGTGGTGCCCTCTATAGGCATTGGGAAGTTAGGAGATGGGAGTGAAGGGGAAGGAAGATTTTTGAGTTCAGCTCTAGATATGCTGTATTTAAGATGTTTATGGTACTTCCAGTTTGGGATGTCCAATGGGGAGTTTGAGATGTGGGTCTAGAGGTCAGCCGAGGGGTTAGGTCCCGACAAGTAGGCTTGAAAATCATTAGCATAGAGATGATAGTTGAATCTGTGGGAGCTGATGAGATCACCAAAAAAAATAATACAGAAAAAGAAAAGAGGGCCTAAGACAGAGCCCTGGAAGACACCTACAATTATCAGGCTGGAGCTGGAAGAAAATCCAGGCAGAGACTGAGAAGTTCTCCGGCTGCTGAGGCCTACCTCTTTCAGACCCCTTCCGTCTACCTCATATATACTTGTATGCGCATATATAGGTTCATAAATACTTTTGTGCCTAGTCATTCACATATTGTCTCTCCCATTAGGCAATGAGCCCTTGACGTTGGGGGCTTTTTTTTTTTGGCCTTTCTTTGTATCAGTGCTTAGCGCAGTGCCTGACTGTGTATATGGCGAGAGCTTAATAAATGCCTGTTAACTGACTGACATACTTGACAAGTGGCTACTCTAGTCTTTGCTTGAAATTCTCCCGTGAGGGGGCTCCTCCACCCCCATGGCAGCCCATCACATTTTTGTGTAGCTCTAATCGTACCAAGTTGGTCCTTACATCAAGTATGATCGCAGCGCTCTGTGGCTTCCATCCGTTGCCCTCTTTGGCAAAGCAGAACAGGTCTTTTCCTGAAAAAACAATCCTAGCTCTACAATTGATCAGTCAATAGACATTTGTTAAATGCTCACCGTGTGCCAGGTCCCGGGCTGAGGCTTGGGGATACCAAGAAAGATCCTTGTCCTGCCCTCAAGGACCTTACATTCTAATGGGACATACAAGGTAAATGCAGAGTTCCTTCCATCTCTCTACCCTGGATATCTCTTGTATGGACATAATTATCTCCACCTCATTAGAAGGCAGGGACTGGGTTGTTACCTTTCTCTCTGTCCCTGTCTCTTAACACAGCGATGGGCACATAGTTGGCACTTAATAAATGCTTGGATGACACTAACAGCTGGGGAGATGAGGCGGTGGTACTGGAGCTGCTGTCAGAGGAAGCCAGGGATGAGGCCGGAGGTTAGGGAGAGAGGGAGGATACTCCAGGCACGATGAGCAGCCAGGACAAAGATATCAGGAGTGCAGATGGAGGCCAAGTCCAAGGAACAGCAAATAGGTGGGCGTGGCTGGTCTGAGAGAGTACAGCGTGAAGGAGATTAGAGAGTGAGCATTTTGGAAAGGCGAGGCGGGACCAGGCGGCTCAGAGCTTTGAGGGGCAAACCAAGGATCTGCCAGGGAATCGCTGGGTCTTCTTGAGCCGGGGGAGACAGAGTCCTGCCTGCACTTTGGGTGGCCACACACTGAGGCTGGATTGGAGGCTTGTGGTCAGGAGACCAGGGAGAAGGCTTTTGCAGTAGCTCAGGGACAAGGCAACTCGAGCCCCACACAGGGTGGTGGCTATGCGAGCAGAGAGAAGAGACGTATTCGAAACACGTTGGAGAGAAAGAAATGGTAGCATTTGGCAGCTGATTGGGTATGTGGGATGAGAGAGAGATAGGAGGTAAGGAGGAAATGAAAGTGGGAACTTGGGCTCCCTCGATGTGGTGATTCCAGAGGGCAGGGAGTGTTTGGGCGGGGGGAAAATAGGTTCTCTTATGGACATGTTGAGTTTGAGATGTCTGTGGGACATCCGGTTGGTGATGCCGGGAGGGGCTCAGGAGAGAGGCTGCAGCTGCAGAAGTAAATCTGGGGTCATCTACACAGAGCCAGGAATTGAACTCAAGAAAGCTGATGAGGTCACCAAGCAAGATAGTATGGAGGGACATGAGAACAGAACCTTGAGGGATCCCCACAGTTACTGGATGTGACTGAGAGGGAGCAGCCATATGGGGAGGAGGAGAACCCGGAGAGCAATATTGGGAAAAATTAGAGGAGACAGTGGTCAGGAGGGGGAGGCACCTGTGGCGTCAGGGACTCTCAGGGCCTGCAGACAGGTCGAGAGGGGTAAGGACTGAAAAGAGGCCAGGACATCTCGCAGGTAGCTTTGGAGCGGGCAGTTTCAGCTGAACGATGAGGTTGGATGGCAGGTTTGCAGAGGCTTTAAAAGAGAGGGAGAGGAAGAGTCATTTGTGCATCAATTCTCCATAGCTTTTTGAAGGAATTTAACTGAGAAGAGGACAGGCATTATAGGAAGATAGCAGAGGGAGGTGGGAAGACCTAATGAGGATTTACCAATGGGAGGAGGGGGAGAATTGGTTTATAGGCAGTATGGAAGGAACCAGTAGGTAGGGAGAGGTTAAAGATTAGAGAAAGGGGAAGGACGATAGTGGGGGCAGTCTGCTGGAGAAGATGGACTCATGGGCAAATGTATGGGGGTGACCTTGACAAGCAGAAAGGCCACCTTATCATTAGATACTATAGGAAGAGAGAGTGAGGGATGATGTCAGAGGAAAGTGAGAAAAGGAATTCTCTATGAATGGTCCCAATTTTTTGGTGACGTATAAGGCATCACGAGAAGGGTAAGGAGAGAAGAAAAGGTTTGGAACAGCTGCCGTGGTGAGTGGGATGGGGAAACGATTAAGTTGGAGGTTGCCTTGTTATGGTGAGGGCCCAGTTTTGAGACTGGATCCAGTTAGAACAGTTTTTGTGATATCCTCCGGTTCCTGTAAGCAACATGTGAATGAGAGTGAAGGAGTAGATGATGGGAGTAATCCAAGGTTGGAGCTTGGTCCAAGGCATGATCATCAGTAGCATAGTGGTTCACTCCTGGTCCAGATTGAGAAGGGAAGAGTGTGTAGCACTAGCAAGGTGATGACTTAGCACGGTACAAGGATTAAAGAGGGGATTTAGGGGGAGCAAAGCATAGGAAGAGATGGAGGGATAAAGGATGACGAACATGGAAGTGGAACTCTTGATGGGGAGACCATCCCTGTAGCGAGCTGAACTGGAGCAGAGGAGTGGGCCATGAGACTTCAGTTCATTGGGGTATTTGAAGGTACATAAAAATGTGTGTTGAAGTCCCCTACAATGAACAAAGGGATGAGGGTAGAGAGGAAATCTGTGAGCCAAGCACTGAACTCACCGAGAAAGGAGAGAGAATGTGCTAAGGGTTAGTAGAGAATGGCCAACCGTGGTTGCTGAGTGACGGTGGCACAGTAGATGGAGGGCAGTAGAGAGCCAGGAATATTCAGACCCCACCCTCACCCCCATGAGTTAGGAGGATGAATGAAAATGGAACCAGTGCTAGAGAGGGAGGTGAGGGAAGCCATGTCATCTGGAGGGAGCCGGGTCTCAGAAGTGTGAGAAAATGGGAGGAGTGAGAAAGGTGAAAGATGAAAGGAAATGTTCTGAACGTGGAGCTGGCATTGCAGAGGGCATAGCAAAAGGAGTGGGGAGAAATGGAATGGGACATTGAGGGGAAGGTTTGAGGAGAGTGGACAGGTGCTGGAATTGGGAGTCAGGAAGACCCGAGTTCAAATCCTGCCTCAGACACTTACTAGCTGGGTGACCCTGGGCAAGTCACTAAAATTCTCAGCAGTGGTCTCCTCTTCTGTAAGATGGGGGTAGATAACAGCATCTCCTTCACAGGGTTGTTAGATACATCAAATAATACATCAGTAGAGTTCTGCAAATGCTGGATATCATCGCTGTTCTTGTTCTTTGGGAGCCAGAGTTTTGGGGTCATGGGCATGGAGAGAATGGGAGGGAGTATGCATCCAGGCAGTATACTGTCCTGTCTGCCAATAAAGCAGATGATTAGAAGGTTCACAGTCATCGACTTGTGTCTAAGCAGCCCTCCCACGTATTGTCATTGGGGCACGCCTGGCACTGTTGTGGCCTTAGCTTTGTTGTCTGGTTGAGAAACCTCCAGGAGGCAGCAGGTGGATTGATCTGACCCAGCACCCTCTGGGGAGTGGGGAGCATGGCTCAGGTCCTGGCTCAAAGCCGGCTGATGGTGCCTTTTCTTCCCTCGGGCAACCACTCCTCTGTCCTCCAGCTAATACTTGTCTGTCATGGGCTCTAGTGGACTCCCACCCCTATGCCCCTCCTGGAGGCCCTCCAGTTCATCAATGCTTATCTTTCCTCAAATGTGGACCCCAGAACTGAACACAGTCATCCAAGGACAGGGGGCTGTGAGCCTTTCCTACTGAGCACCGAGTAGGGCTACTCCTCAGCTGCCAGGCCATACTCTTGACCAACTCAACTGGGGCTCTCACTCCTCTCCTGTCCCTTTTTCCCATCTTCTGCACATTGACCACTGCCTCCCAGAATGCATTTGGCTCTGCACTGTACCTGAGCCTCCCTTCCTGGGGAGCCCCTACTCCCAGAGGCAGCTTGTGCTAGGATGTGCTGCCCCACCGGTCCTCATTCTGTTCTTGGGAGTCAGAACAAGGTCGATCCCACTTCCTCGTCGCCCCTTCCAATACTTGGCTAGCTGTGACTCCTCTATGCGGTGCTTAGGCATTTAATTTTTTAAAACCCAAATGTAAGAAATTCATCTAAGTTATATTTTGTCTTTTGAAATTTGGCCCAAATACTAGGCTTTTTTGCAATCTTTTTGGATCTTGACCATATCATCAGTTGTAGAGAAGGCATTGGGAAGAAATAGCTGTCTGTAACAGACATGTGGGGATTGGAAAGGGTTCCCTGCCTGCCTCCCCGCCCTCACCTTGTCTACAAATCATCTCTCTCTGTCATTTATGTCTGCAGATATCATTCAGATTGGTGCTCACCTTCAAACTCAGATGAAATACACGAGCGGGTAAAAAAGGTATTGAAATCACACGGGGCTCATCAAAGATATCTATATGTAAGTGTATACAGCTTCCTGGGAACTCTAGATTCGTAAAAACTGTGGTTAAAGCCGGTATAGAGACCTAACATCTTGAATTGTTTTTCTCATGTTTTTCTGATTCTCACATCATTTCTACCTTCACAATGTCTATGGATTGGCATCTAGTAAAGGTTTAATACGTGCTCAGTCGCTCACTCTCTCATGTCTGTCTATCTGTCTCTGTCTATCCATCCATCCTTCTCTCTGTCCATCTGTCTCTTTCTCCCTTTCTGTCTCTTGTATACGTTCCCCTCCATACACATGCCCTCCACCGTCCACCCCTTCACACCCGCTCAGCAGGAGCTCTCAGGTTGATCTCCCTGCCTCAGGTCTCCCCTCTCTAGTCCATCCCACACACATCTGCTGAAGCACTTGTTCTGAAGTTCAGGTCCAACCATGTCATCCACCTGCTCAGAAGGAAGGAAGGAGGGAAGAAGCCAGCACTTCTGGGCTCCCTGTGACCTCCAGGAGCAAATATAAGATTGTGTTTACTTTGAAAGCCCTTCACACCCTGTCGCCATTCTGCCCTCCCAACCCTCTGACACTTCAGTCTCCTCCATGTACTCTACAGCCCACCCAGTGGCCTTGCTGATGCTCTGTGTGCTTGCACTGGCTCTCCCTCCTCATCTCTCCCTCCTGGCCCAAACCCCACTTCCTACCCGAGGCCTTCCCCCCAGGGCCTCCTCTTGGGGATTACCTCCTGTTTCCCTTGTACATCTCATAGGGACCTCATTGTTGGCCTCCACTAGAGTATGAGCTCCTTGAAGGAAGGGCCTGGCCTTTTGCCTTTCTTTGATAGCCCTGGGTATGGCACATCGTAGCTGCTCAATAAATCCATGGTGACTGACTTCAAAGGGCACACACTAGCCCTCCGTCTGTAGCAGGAGGGTGTCTACCCTGGCATCCCCCTGCTCACAGAGAAGCAGACCTGAGAGGACTAAAGAAATGGGAGCTTCCTGAAGGCCTTCCCCTCAGGCCTGGGGCAGATGGGAAGCGCCAAGTACTGTTGTAGCATCTCTGTTATAGTCCCCTTTTTCTCCTCTGACATTGCTACCACCCCTCCAGGGCAGGCCCTTATCACCTCACTCTTGGACCGTTGCGGTAGCTGATGAAGGGTCTGCCTGCCTTGAGTCTCTCCAGACCATCCTCCACTCCTCTGTCTCTTTTTATTTCCTTGTCTGCATCTGTATCTTGTTTCCCCTGGTGGTTAGGAGCCCCGTGAAAACAAGGGCCACGTCTTAGCTAAACTGCTTCTTCCCCAGGAACGGGCATAAGCAGTTTGCTGAATTGGTTTGACTTCCTTGAGCTTGGCCAGACCCTCCCCTAGGACACACTGGAGCCTGCCTGCCCATCCACCCCTCCTCTGGCTATGGGCCAGCCCTTCTCCTCTGCCCTCGTTGTGACAATTAATTTACATTGACTAAACTTCTGTAGAAGATTATTGGTGTTGATGTTCACATCGTGTCTGTTGTCCATTTCCCATTTCTGAGTGCCGGTCTTGTAGGGTGGCCTCTTCCTGATTGCAGAGGGCCTGTCCTTCTTTCTCTGCCTCCAGGCAGAGGACTTACCTGTGGGGAAAGGAGAGAAACTGGATTCCCTCAGCTCCCCTCCCCTGAGCTGCCTCATACCGTTAGAGAACTCCATCCTGAGACCACACCCAAGTGGTGTTAGTAACCCGCCGGAACTTGGTCATTAGTAATTAACAAACTCCCACCCAGACTCCTCTTCCTTGGGATTCCCAGCTATTCAAACCCCATTCTCTGTCCCCATATTGATCCTAAATCTTTTCCTTTCTTTCCATCTTTTGGCTCTTATGGAGCTCTGGCACAGCCTCCTTGGCCTCCACTTCCAAGTTACCTTGTCACTCACTCTCCTTGGCTCCTGGTCGAGGTGGGGGAGTTGGCATAGTCGCCATTGCCACTTCCAGCGTCCCTCCGTCACCTCTGCTCCTTTGAGGCTCACTAAGTGCATTTCAGCCACTCAGTCCAGATTCTGGTGCTCTTGTCTACAGACCTCCTCTCCTTGGCGAGTTCAGTGCCTGGCTCACAGCCGCTCTCCTCCCCAGCTCCTGCCCTCCTCCTAGGGACATTAGCCTGAATATTGATTGTCCCTCAAACACCATAATCCACAATTCTTCAGCTGACTCATTGACTGTGACCTACTCCTCCACCACACCTCAGCTACCCAGATATGTGTCATGCTCTGGATCTCCTGCTTTCTCCATCTTGGCCCCTTTGGTGAACCAGTTTAGCTCTGGTCCCCTGCTCCTTTATCCTGACTTTTCCCTGGCAATCCCTAGCCGTGGACTACTGCCTCCATCTACTGACTCCTCTCCTATTCATGTGCTCCTGAACGAAGCTGGAGAAAATCACAGAACAGCTGACTGAGTCCACTACACATTGGTGTGACGTAATCTCAACTGGGCCCTCACCGTGGCAAGGCGATCCTCTTACACCTCTCTTATTAACTCCCACTCGCTAGCCAGCTCTTCTAGACCTTTGTGTCCCTCCCCCCTCCCCCCACTCAGCTGAGAATGTCGCTTCATATTTCATTGAAAAAAAAGAGGCCATTCTGAGAGTGCTTCCACTTGGCCCTTCCTCCTGTCAAACAGATAGATAGATGCCTTCTGTCACTGTCTCCACCTTCACCCCTGTCTCTGATGAAGAGATGACCTTTCTCCTTGTCCAAACACCCTCCATATGCAAAATGACCCATCCCACCCCAGCTTCTCCAGCAGGTTGCCCCTGCTATCCTCCCATTCTCTTATTATCTTCCCTGTTTCCCTGTCTACTAGCTGCTTTGCTACCGCTCTGCCATCCTCACAGAGCCTATTTATCCATGCATCCCCACTAGCTATTGTTCCATGCCTCTCCTGGCTTTTGTGACTGTTTACAACCAATGCCTCCGTGTCCCTTCCTATTGCTCTCTTCTGAACAGTCTGGCTTCTGACCTCATCCTTCAAATAGAACTGCCCTCTCCAGGGTTACCTAGGATCTCTTAATCGTCAGCTCTAATGACCTCTTCTCACTCCTCATCCTTCTTGGCCTCTCTGTGGCCTCTGACGCTGTCAATCACCCCCTTCTCCTTGACTCCATCTTCTCCCTAGGTTTTTACAACACTGCTCTGACCTGGTTTTCGTTCTCTCTACCTGACCACTCCTCAGGCTCCTTTGCTGGATCTTCAGTCAGGTCACGCCCAATAACAGGAGGTGTCTCTCAGGACCCTGTCCCGGGCCCTCTTCTCCCTACTTTTTCACTGGGTAATCTCACTAGCTGCCATGGTTTTCATTAAAATCTCTATGCTGATGAGCCTCAAATCCACCTATTAGCCCCAGCCTCTCTGCTGACCTCATCTGGCACTTCCAGCTGCCTATTAGATGGATCTCATGTTAGATGTCTTAAACACATCGTGTCTCAAACCGGACATGTTACCTTTTCCCCCTTCAGAAGTTCCCTGCCGTAGTCCAAGGTACCTTCTTCCTACTGGTACCCCAGGCTGGGAACATAGGATTTCCTCACTCTCATCCCATTGCCTCTAATCAGTCAGTCGCCAAGTACTGTTGTAGCATCTCTGTTATAGTCCCCTTTTTCTCCTCTGACATTGCTACCACCCCTCCAGGGCAGGCCCTTATCACCTCACTCTTGGACCGTTGCGGTAGCTGATGAAGGGTCTGCCTGCCTTGAGTCTCTCCAGACCATCCTCCACTCAGCTAGATGACACAGTATATAGGGTGCTGACCCTGGAGTCAGGGAGACCTGAGTTCTAATGTAACTTTAGACATTTACTAGTTGTGTGACCCTGGCCAAGTCACGTTACCTCTGTTTGCCTCTTTCCTCATCTGTAAAATGGGGATAATAATAACACCTACTTCCCAGGGCTGTTGTGAGGATCAAATGAGATAACTGTAAAGGGCTCACTTAGCTCAGTGCCTGTAGGGTACTGTATGTTAGCTTTCATCATCATCATCATCCTTATTCCTATAGTGTAGATCTCAAAATATCACCACCATCCCCTCATCTGATAAACTCCAGTGGCTCTCTGTCACCTCCAGGATCATACACAAAGTATCCTGTTGGGCATTCAGAGCCCTTCCTAACCAGCCGCCCCCTGCACTTTCTTCCTCTCCCCCTGCCCGTACTCTGGGGTCCCAGGATGTTGGCTTTCTTGCCTTTCCTCCCCCTGACATCTGGGCGTTGTCACCGCCACCCCCTGAGCACAGACTGCTCTCCCTCCTCCTCCCCGCCCCCCGGCTTCCCTGGAATCCCAGCTAAGGTCCCCCTTTCTGCAGGAAGCCTTTCCCGGTCCTCCCTGATGCTGGTGACTCCCCCCTGGTGATTATCCTCCACTTTTTCCAGCATATCTAGTGTTGCCACAGTCGTTTGCATGTGGGCTCTCCCCCCCCACCCATGTTGCACTGTGAGCTCAGATGGCCTTCTGCCTTTCATTGTATCCCCAGCACCTAACTCAGTACCTGGCACATAGTAGGTGCTTAATAAGTTGACTGTCTTGTTTACATTGTACAGGGCTAAGTTGTTTTGATTCTGTGTAATAGCTTTTTCTCATTATTAGTCTTTTTTACTGTTTCTGAATCTTAGCTCTGACACAAGTCAGTGGGCTGACTTCAGCTGATTCAGGAATTGCTTCCACACGAATAACAAGTCTTTCCTTTCCATTAAAACATAAACTCTTCTATTTTTTTGTGGGGGTGTGGGGTGAAGCAGTTGGGGGTAAGTGACTTGCCCAGGGTCACACAGCTAGTGAGTGTCAGTTGTCTGGTCTGAGACCAGATTTGACCTCAGGTCCTCCTGAGTCCAGAGCCAGTGCCGTATCCACTGCACCACCCAGCTGCCCCAAATTCTTCTCTTCTTTATGATGTCATTTGTTGCTTGGCATGTACAGGGCCTGCCATTTCTTTTCTCAAAGAAAGTGTCAAGAATACAGAGGCGTGAGATTTCTGTGTAACTTCCAGATCTTTG